CAGAATAAAGGGACGAGACAGCCCCTGGTTGACTCCAGAGCTAGCTGACCTCCTGCACAGGAGAGATCATCTTTGGGCCGCAGCAAGAAAATCTGACTCAGACACTGATTGGTTGAGTTTTCGACAGATGAGGAATAAATGTACAACTTCTGTCAAAGCAGCAAAACGCAACTATTTCTTATCTCAGACTTCCAAAAATCTAAATGACCCTTAACAGATTCTGGAAAACCATCAAATCTCTCTCAGGCACCCCCCAATCATCTGACCTCCCATCACAACTTCTCATTAACTCTGTTCCTGTGTCAAACAAGCGCGAGATCCTGAACTGTCTCAACAAACATTTTGTTGCTTCTAGTTCTTCATTTGACACAGTTACTAATGGAAGATCAGCCACTTCACTTAATAACCAAACTTCTACAAATCAAATCCCTCCTACAAGTCAATCCTCAGTTAATCACAGCTTCTCTTTTTCTCCATTCTCAGTCAGTGAGGTCAATAAACTGTTAAAAGATCTTGATCCTAAAAAATCTGCAGGTCCAGATGAACTTCCACCTTATTTCTTAAGGCTGGCTGCTCATATCATCACAGTCCCTGTGACCCACATCTTCAATCTCTCCATAAGACAAAACTCCATCCCAGACACTTGAAAACAGCCTTTGTTCTTCCTTTGCTGAAGGGAGGAGACCTCACCTCACTGAACAACTATGGACCAATCTCTAAACTCTGCATTTTAGCCAAGGTTCTAGAAAAACTGATAAACTCTCAAATCAAAGATGACCTGGACTCATTTAACATCTTACCTCCACATCAATCTGGTTTCAGGAAACAACACAGCACAACCACTGCTTCACTGAAGGTTCTTAATGATGTTGTTGAAGCACTGGATGCTAAGGATTATTGTGCTGCACTTTTCTTAGACCTGTCTAAAGATTCTGACTCTGTGGATCAGAACATCTTGTGTCAGAAGATCTCAGAAACTGGTTTCTCAGAACACACCATTGGTTGGTTCTCTAACTATCTTTCAGACCGGAGGCAACGTGTTCAACATAATGGTACTTCCTCCAGTTATTTAACAGTCAACAATGGTGTACCACAAGGCTCAGTCTTAGGACCCACCCTCTTTACAATCTACATACATAATGTAGGTCAGAGCATCCCTGATGCATCCATACATTTCTATGCTGATGACACAGTTGTTTATTGTCAAGCTAAAACAAGTGCACTAAGATTCATAACTGGCTGTAACTACCGTACCCACCACTGCTCCCAGTATTCACTGGTTAACTGGTCACCATTAATATCCTGATGCATGCTCAATAATCCAGGTAGATCACCATTAACTTCACACAGACTCTCCCACTGGTACAT